TTGAGGGATTAATAAAATTTTTTTTTTTTAATGATGGAACTTGCAGGAAATTGAAGGTTTGTTTTTTTTTTTTTTTTTTTTTTTTGAAGTAGGACCTCACTCTGTAGCCCAGGCTAGCCAAGAGCTTGGAATTTGCAATCCTCCTGTCTCAGCTTCCTGTGTTAAGATTATATGTGCCACATCCAGTAAAGAGTAATATCTGAGCCTCAGGAATAAATCAACCCTCTTAAGTGCCTTAAGGTAAATGTGATTCTTTTATATTACTATAACAAAATAAAATATCAGTTTCATGGTGGGTAGGGTATCTTTCAAAAGAGGAACAATACACAGAGCATGGTGGCACACACTTTAATCCCAGCACTCGGGAGGAAGAGGCAGCCAGGCCTTTATGAGACTGATGCCAGCCTGGTCTATGTAGCAAGTTTCAGGCCAGTGGGGGCTACAGGGAGACCCTGTTTCAAAGCAAAGCATTGCCTAGGGTTACTGTTTCTCTCTCTCTCCTCTCTCTCTCTCTCTCTCTCTGAGGCAGGGTCTCCCTGTAGCCCCAGCTGGCCTGGAAATCACTATGTAGAACAGGCTGGCCTTGAACTCACAGAGATCCTCCTGCCTCTGCCTCCAGAGTGCTGGGATTAAAGATGTGTACCACCACACCTGGCAAACATTTTAAATCTACACTCAGTGGCCAGATTCCTGCTAAGGCTTCATAAAGAGTTACCTCATTTAATCTTTCTAACAACTACATGAAACAGGAGCTGCAGTTATTTGCCGCTTCTCAGATGTTTACAGAGGTGGTCACCACCTCCAGTTAGAGTTAGTAAGGGACGTCTGTTTCGGCATCTGGATGCGGGAGCAATAGAATGAAGGAGCTGGTTCTATCTTGTTGAATGGCTTTATGAAGACTATTTCTATTGGCCTCGGTTTCCTCATCTGTAAATTAAAGGAATTGTGTCTGATGATCTCAAAGGGCCCTACCAACTGTTTGACAATTCTCCAAATCAATCTTGACTGGTCCACTGTGGCTACTCATTAATACTGTGACTGGTGGGAAGAGGAGGGCAGAGTGGGGCAGGGAGGGGCAGGGAGACTACTGCCCTAGGCACTCAGCATTTTCCTGAGTGACTGCTCCAGTAGTTACTTGAGCCCAGACAGGTAAGGACAGCTGAGGTGGGAAAGAACCCACTTTTAACAATTATGGCTGTCATAATTGATCTTTGAGTCAGCTCAGCCAGTTTTCCTGGACGAATGTTCCTAAGTGCAGCATCAGTCCCCTAAAGCACTCCACATTCTCTGTGGGCTGGCTGGTGACACACTGAGCACAGGTAAGGTTAGAGAATCTCTGTGTGGTGTAATCAGACCTGCTCCTCTGAATCACAATAACTGATAACTTCCAGGAATTTTACAGCAGCCTCAAGCCGACATTCTGTCCTGAGTTCAGGAAGTGGGTGGGAGAGAGAGAGACTGGAGACTCCCTGGGGTTTTATGTAATGACCACAAACATGAAGTGATGAGACTCAGTAACTAGGTGCTTGAATAGTGCGCTTAAGGCGGCGTGGACAACTCAAGTAATCTGAAGCTCTGTGAACTGGGAACCAACTTGGTGCTTCTCTGAGAACCGGGCTATCACATTTCCCTGCAACCTGCGAGCAGAGCTTCATTACATGTCAACAGCATGGGCCCTCTAAACACGAAAAGACTCTTATTTACCGTTCTTGTAGTCTGTGAGCACACACACTGCTGAATGG